TTGCACAGGGCTGGATACCTACTGGATGTTCAGTGTCTTTTGAACGAATGAATGAGTTGTGGGCCCCAATTCAATAAATCCCTTTATTTGCTTAATTCGCCAATGTCTTTGATAGTTCTGAATTGCTGTAATGAAAATTAATTTCTGTAGTAAGTCATGTCCCTGAAGAGTCTTACAGTGTTTCTTATTTAGTCTAACATGGCACCTTTTGCATTTCTTTGTGTTTGTTTCAAGTTAAAATTTCTGACCCTGATCTTCTTTTACCTAAAAAGTCTTGCCCATTCTTTATTGACCATCTTAATGGCCAAGATGCCACCAAACTCTCTGAGGACCCCAGGGAATAGTGGCCATTCCCTACTGTGGTGGTGAAGTTTGTGTGTCAATTTGGCTAGGCCTGGTTGAGTGGCTAGGCAGCTGGATGTAGTATTCCCCATGATGAGACTGGTAATCAACTCCATGGTGGAATCTATTGTGAGCAGCTGAGTAGCTGCGTTTGGGAATGTGGTCTGCTTCCCATATATAAGAGCTTTGAGAATGGTCTCTAGCTTATGGGACACTTGAACCCTGCATGTGGCTGAGTCGTTGTTTAGCAGCCTGCCATGCTCTGCCAACCTTGGGACTTTTGTTGGATTTGAATTAATTGTCTGCCATATGGTTTGGTAACATTGGGACTGTGCTATTTTATTTGTCAACCTTGGACTTCTTAGCCTCAGCAGCCAGTAGCTAGCTGCCTGAGTGAAGAGATACCTCTAGCTTTGGTGGGCCAGTAGCAAAAGGCAGAGCTGAAGCCCAAGGTCAAGGGGCTTTAACCCAGCCTCTAGAGCCTGGCACTTTGAACTCAGACTTAAATCCTCCAAACTGTAAGAGAATAAACTGATTGTTAAGGACATCCCATTTGTGGTATATTCCTGTCAGAGCGGCACTAGGTAACCAGAACACCTACTATATGCTCCAACAACACTGGTTATACTTCCTAAAAGTGCATTGCACACGTTGTTTCCATATTCTTATTCTTCTTCTTTTTAAAATTTTCTTTTCCATTTGATTCTTACAATGTCCCTGAGTTGGAATGCTGGATAATAGTTACTCCTCTTCTACAGATAAGGAAAGATTTGGAGAAGTTAATGGATGTGCTTAGGGACACAGACCAATAACCGTTGGAGTCACATGAGAACTCAGGTCTCTCCCACCCTTCTTGTCCCATACTCCTCATACTGCTGTACATTCATGTTGTGTGTTCACGTGCTCATATCCTGGAATGTATTTTTCCCACTTTGTGTCAGTGTTATCAGGAGGTCTGGTGGTGTAGTGCCTACGCATTTGACTGCTAACCAGAAGGTTGGTGGTTCAAACCTACCAGCCACTTCTCAGAAGGAAGACTGGGCAATCTACTTCCATAAATATTTACCACCTCAGAAACCCAAAGCGGGGTCACTATGAGTCAGAACCAACTAGATGGTAGTGAGTTTGGTTTTTTGGTGAGTGTTATCTTCTCTACAAGATTATAAATTCCTCCAGCCCTGTAATTTCTTACCAAAACCCAAACTCATTGCAATCAGGGATGTTAAAATATGAACTAAAGGGATCTAATAGAAGTGCACAAACAGAAATATTCATACTTATGTTCACTGCAAAGCTATTCACAGTAGCAAAAGATTTAAACAACATAAACACCCATTAAAGGATGAATGGATAAGTAAAATGTGATACATACATATGATGGAATACTACTCAGTGATAAGAAAAATGAGTTCCTGAAACATCTGAAGAACATTATGTTGAGTGAAATAAGTCAATAACAAAAAAAGAAAAAAAAAAAAAAACCCACCAAACACACACATTCTGTTTTCATCTTTATGAACTTTATGACCTGACTAGGTAAATATACAGATACAAATGCTCATTACTGGTTACCAGGGGTGGAGGCAGGGAGGGGGAAGTACTCCCTAGGTAAAAGTCACTTTCTGTTTATAGAAATGGGAAAGGTGGCAATGAATATGGGTGAAGTTTGCACAACATGATTGATATAACTGATGTCAATAAGCTGTACATAGGAAAAAGGAATGAATGGGCAAATGCTAGGCTGTGTATGGTTTTGCAACAATAACAACAACCAAAAAATGAAGAGAGGCTACAGAGGCTATGGTATTAATGAGACATAACCAATTACTTTGTGGGATTCATTCTCTTGGTTTGAGGCCTTAGGGCCATGACCTAATGAAACAATCCAGTCAATTGGTATAGTATAGTTCCTAAAGTTTATGTTCCACTTCCTTGTATGGTGAGAATGTCTAGGGTTTTAAAACCTTAAAGGTGGATATATGGTGAACATTTACATCAGGTAGATACATTTCTTAGAGCGATCAATCATGGGAGAACAGAATGGCAGTATTTGCACAGGGAGACAGTTTCAGGGTGGGAGCACATGGGAGCAAAGAACACAGGGAAGAGGTAACTACCGGGAGTAAGTGGGAAGAGAGCTGTTACATTATGGGGAACTGCAGACAATGTCATAAAACAACATGTGTATGAACTGCTGTATGGAAAACGAACTTGCTTTGTAAACTTCCACTCAAATCACCATAAAAAAATTAAAAAAAAAACACAAAACTTATAGGCAGTTGTCTAAAACATAACTATTGGTCTTTATTTGTCTGGAATAAAAGAGAAAGGAGGAAACTCAAGCATCAGAAAAGGAATTGGACCATAGGCCTAGCAGTTTTTCATGAACCACCGCCTCTTCCGCCTTGCAATTACAACTAGATAGCTCTCAGTTACCATTACTGAACATTCTGGTCAGGAAAACAATAGATGAATCCCGATTAAAAGGGATAGAAATGTGAAACAGAACTTGAAATTCTTAAACAATTCAGACTTACTGGACCTATTGAGGCTAGAAGATTTCCTGAGACTATGGCCCTGAGTTGCTCCTCAAATCGTAAATTGAAACTATCCCCTGAAGTCCTCTTAAAGCTAAACAACAGTTTATAGTAATGAGAAAAGACTGTCACCCTTCAGTATTAATACTTTTAAAAAAATCCATATAAGATCAAAAGGTCAACAGTTATTTTAAAGCATAGATAAGAAGGTTGGTGGGCAAGAAGACTAAGTAAATAGAAGTGAAACTAGACCAGAAATAAGGCGAATGTTGACACAATGTGAAAAATTTAACTACTGTCACTGATTATGATGTCTAAACCAAAAACAAAACTCACTGTCATAGAGACTGCTCCATCTTCCACAGAGCAGATGGTGGGTTTGAACTACTCACTGATCTTCAGTTTAGCAGCCAAATTTCTTAAACATTCCATCACCAGAGCTCTTTGATTATTATGTCTAGAAGCTGTGGAATGGTAGCCAGTTTTGCTGTGTATATGTTCACCAAAAATAAAACAAAATATTAAAAAAAAATATGAACTAAATGAAGAAATTAGTGGATACTAAAAATTTTTCTAACTAACAGATCTGTCCTGGAGGAAGTGTAGCTGAGATGCTCCTTGGAAGTGAGGATGGCCAGACTCTGCCTTACCTACTTTGGTCATGTTGTCAGAGGGGATCATTCCCTGGAGAAGGATGTCATGCTTAGTAAGGTGGAGGGTCGACGAAAAAGGGGAAGGCCTTCAACGAGATGGATTGACATGGTGGCTGTGACGATGGGCTCAAGTACAGCAGGGATCATGGAGCTGGTGTGGGATCGGCGGTGTTTTGTTCTGCTGTGCATGGGGTCGCTATGAGTCAGAAACGACTCGATGGCACCTAACAACAACAACAAAATTTTCATTCAGGAATAGAAAAAAAAAATAATCACAAGTTTTCATTTTATTGTAACTAACTTTTGCCACAGGTATAAAAAGGACAAAAGAGCTGTAGAATTTGTACAAAAACCAAAAACCAACCTCACTGCCGTGGAGTCAGATCTAACTCATAAGGACCCCTCCTTGGTTTTCCCAGGAGGTATCACTACCGAAGTAGATTGTCCAACCGTCCTTGCACAGATGTTGGAAAAAACTAAACGGGCTTCGTTTGTTAGTTAAGTTTTGCTCCAAAGCCTTGTCTTAAAAAAAATAAAAATAAAATGACAGTTTCTATATCCAAGTCAGTACAAAACCATATTTGGAGAGTGAGATTTATTTACTTGCTTGTAAGTTTGTTCTCTGTAATTTCATCTTAAATATAGCCACTCATATGAGGTGTGAGGGAGTACTAAGCAAATTGCCTCTTGCACTGCTCTCAAGGGTGGAGAGAGCAAACTGTCCCATCTATTGCTCTTATGGGTGGAGAGAGTGTGATCAGTAGTTGGGGGTGAAAAGAAAGGCTGGAAAGGTCAAGAACACTCAGGCACTTCACCCTCAGACACTACAATTAGATTCTCTGAGCTTCTCCTAGTCAGACATCTCGAGCATTAGACTTGAGATTAAGTTTTTGGCGGCTAATAATCCAAAAGTTGGCAGTTTGAACCCACCAAACTGCTCTGTGGGTGACGATCTACTCCCATAAAGATTACAGCCAAGAAAACCCAGTGGGGTAGTTCTACTCTGTCACATGGGGTAGCTATGAGTCTGAATGGACTGGATGACAGTTAACACCAGAGAAACTTTGAGAAATGACCAAGGCCCTCTCTACACGCCGGCTACTCTGAGAGCCCTCTGGTAGCATAGTGCCTATGGCACTTGACTGCTAACCAGAAGACTGGCAGTTCAAACCCACCAGCCATTGCTGGGAAGGAAGGTTGGGTAATCTACTTCCATACTTCCGTAGTGATACCGCCTCGGAAACCCAAGGAGGGGTCGCCCCAAGGAGGGGTCCCTATGAGTCCGTCTGACTCGGTGGCACGTAACAACAACAACAATCTGAAACAAACCGAACAAAAATCCTACATGTCCCAGAAGCCTCGGGTATAAGCCTTCGCTTTAATGGGACAAACTGTCCGGAGTAGGGGTGAGAACAAGATGTCCTGGTACCCTGCCCTTCACCAAAATAGCGGATGCCGCGCTCGCTAAATCCGCGAGTTGAACTCGCCCTAACTAGTTTGTCCCTGAGGCCGCCTCGTAGGCGGCGTCGCGTCGCTGAGCGTCTCTCTAGGCTACATTGTCATGGCTGCTGGTGGTGGTGTTACCCCTGTTGGCGAGGGGCTGCGCTACGCCGAGTACTCTCCGCCCTCGGCCAAAAGGCCAGACGCCGATATCGACCAGGGACTGGTGAGTCCTGCGGCCGGCTCCTCCTTTTTCTGGTTCCGGAAGCCGTAGCCTGACAGCCTGGGCTGCCCAGCTGATTGTCTTCCTCAGCCCCTGCCTAGTCCCTGTCTTTCCACATAATCCCCCTTCACCTCTCGAACTTTTGTAAGCCCTTCGTTTTTTCACTGTGTTTGCCCCATTATTCATCGTTCAGCTTCTGTTGCCCCACGTTGACTGATAGGTGTGAAAGATACAGCAGGTCAGAGCGTACCTTCCTCTTTAAGGGGCTTCCAGTCTTAACCGGGAGACAGACAGGAAAATAATAGGCAATTGTCGATAGAGATGATGAGTGCTATGACGAATTCTCTCCTCACATAGGAAAGGACCCCAGACCTGTCTTTAGGAGGTGTGCTGGGGTGGGGGAGGCTTATTGAAGAAAGTGGTATCACTTAAGACGTGAAGAATTGAGTAGAAGTTAACTCAGCCAAAGAGGAAAAAATGTTTCAGGCAGCAGTAGTATCAAAAAAATCGCAGGCCAAAGAAACATGGCTCAGTCGGAAATTGCAAGGGGTATATTTGGGTTGAAATGTATTCTGATTGAAATATGCAACTGGGAAAAGTAAATGTCCAAAAGACATTTTTAGTAGTCGCATTTAAGAAAGTAAAAATCAGGTGGAATTAATTTCAGTGATGCATTTTATTTAACCACAATGCCAGTTCAACTTGTAATCAATATAAGAAACATTAATGATATATTTGACTTTTTTTTTTAAAAGGAAATCTTTGAAATTTGATGTGTATTTTACACTTAAATCACATTTCAATTTCACTTAAAGCACACTCCTTTCAAGTGCTCAGTAGTCACATGTGACTCGTGGCTACTTACTGATCAGCGTGGTTCTAAAACATAAACAGACAAGAATATGAAGCTCTGGTGAATCATTTGGAGTATTTGGGATATCCTAAGGGCAGTGGTACCATGGTACCACTTTTGAGTTTTTGGCAGAAGAGTGACAGATTGAACAGTCAGGCTGTGCAAGTAGAGAAAGTCTGGCAACAGATGGCAGTTTTATCCCTTTTTCATTCCACATTCCATGCTACTTCAGTTCACAGTGATGGCTTACCTTTAAATGATAGCAATTATTGTCCATACTCTTTGTGTACTAATATACACTATCTTGTATCAAGATACCGTTTATCTTGATACCTCATTTTTTGCAGTTGTGTTCTAAGTTTTCTAAGAGCAGAGACTGGATATTTATAAACAACTCATTTTATAGTAAGCACCCACCAGCCACTCCTTGGAAGAAAGGCTGGTCAATCTACTTCCCTAGTGATGTTGTTTGCCGACTTGACAAGTGGAGGAGTCAGACTTGACTCATAGCAACCCCTCCTTGGGTTTCCGAGGCAGTATCATTACAGAAGTAGATTGCCCCATCTTCCTTCTGAGGAGTGATATCTTCTTTCTGGTTAGCAGTCAAGTGCCTT